CGATGGAAGCTTCCTGCCCCCGAGTCCTTACTCCTGGTCCTTCATAGGTCTGTGGGGTGGCGGGGCACCTGCCGTTGGCCTTCTGAGGTGGGTCTGTGGTGTGTGCTGACAGCTGGCCGGGGGTCTGTTCCCTTCACTCCTGAGCTCTGCCCTGAGGAGCTCTCCCGGCAAGGCGAGGAGCGCTGTGCAGGACCCCTTAGCTCTAGGGGATCCCTGGCAGGGTTCACTCACTCCTAGGACAGAAAAATGAGAAATTGGCAACTAGGCGCCCAGAGAGGGGACCTGTTGTCACTGTGATCCCAGCCCTGGTGGAGTGCAGTGCCGTGTGTCTACTAGATAATTTGACACCGGTGCTTTTGTTGCTGTGAGACGAAAACTGCTGAGAAATCCCTGCCTGAAATATGCTGCCGAGGGTCCTGTTTCCATGTGCATGTGCGGGCATGTGGACAGGTGTGGTCTCTGCGATTCTGGAATTTCCTGCAATAAATGACACAAAGGGCTGCTTTTGGAATCATGGAAAGGAAGATGTCACGTCGTGTCCAGTCTGTCTTATTAATGTCAGGAAGTTGTGGCATAGTGGAGAAGTCCTACCATCCAGAGAAGCTCCGAGTGAGGTCTAGGGTGCCGGCTGGAGTCCCAGGTGTCCCTCCCATTGTGTAACAGAAGCCCTCAGGACAGACCCACTGCAGAGAGGAGTCGGCAGCGTGAGCCCCGGTTAGCAGAGAAACTGCAAGTTCCAGGAGCTTGTTAGTGGATCGGCCGCTCACTCCATGTTCTTTTCTCTTTAAAATCAAACTATTGAAAAGCTTTTCACGCTATGAATGGATCACTCCAAAGAGTGCATCTGCTAGAGAATGCTCTATTGAACGGCTTTCATTGAGTTGAGGATGTTGTGAGGATGTCGATGTTGAAACCTATCATTGGTGTCCTCTAGAACTTAAAACAACATCCATGATCTACTGTCCTCTTGGGAGGGCAGCTGGGAGGCTTATTGAGATATCAGGCGGGGGGGGGGTCCGTGAAAAATGGTGTTTTTATTAAGAATCTGGTGGTAGTAGCACTGGTCCACTGTGGGGTTGCTCTGAACTTGACCTTGATGTCCCAAAGCAGTGGCAGGTACTGGAAGTGCTGGCCGTGGCTTGAGTATTAGCTCTGGGTTGGATTTTATCGTCTCACTGCATCTGCATGTCTGAGGAGGTGGACCCGAGTCTTAGCCTGCTGTAAGGTGTCTCAGGTAGCTCTGGCTGCTATAACAAACACGGTAGACTGCGAGGCTTGTGAATCACAGGAACCTCATTCTCACAGTTCTGGAGGCTGGAAGTTCCAGATCAGGTGACAGCAGGGTTGGTTTCTGTTGAAGACGGCCACCTTCTCTCTGTGTCCCCACATGGTGGCAGAAGGGGCTACAGAGATCTTCAAGGTGCCTTTCATGAGGTTCCACCCTCATGACCTCATAACCTGGAGACTCTACCTCCAAATATCACCACGTTGTGGGTAGGGATTCCAACAGGCAGTGCCCTCTGCGACCAATGGCTGCCTCCTTTGGCCTTGTGTTTCTTGTCCTTTGGTCATTCCTGAATACGTTTTCCTCACGTGTGTGGGGGACGTGCGTGTGTGTGAGAGTGGATGTGTGTGTGCTGGGGATGTCAGGCCTGGGTATTTAGACTCTGCAGTTTCAAAGGACGGCACAGGGTCCCCACCCTTCCTCCTACCACTGACTTGATGGACTGATAGAGTAAACCCTGCTTCTGAAATTCCTCCGACCCCACAGGGAACGTCACAGAGTTCCAGGGGGGAAGAGCCCTTTCTCTGGGAGTCACAGGGGGAAAAATCTGCTAGTGCCAGCACAGACTTCAGTGTGACTCACATTCACGGGCAGTTTTGATGATATGCTGCTGATAAGGCAAGTGCATTCATGAATTGGGAATCTTTCCATGGCAACCGCACAAAACCCAATTCATATTAACTTATCATCTTTTCTTCTCTCTCTCTCTCTCTTAAAAAAAAAAAGAACAACAAAAAGAAGGGTGCAAAGTGTTATCACCCCACATAATTGGAAAGTCTAGAACCACCATGTCAGGTGAGGCTTGATCCAGCTGCCCTTACCGGGGCTGCAGGACCGGGTTCTCTGTCTTTCCACTCTGCCTTCCTTGACTGGAGCCTTGCCCTCTGGCTTCACCACCTTCTCCTGGGCAGCAGCAGAACACAGTGGCTGCCAGAGCCCTGCACCCTCTTGCCCCCTCCTCCAGCCAGAGCTACAGAAGCTCTCCCCATAGCTCTTGCTCAACCCCTGTATCATTGGCCCTGTTAGGTGACATGCCTCTCCAACCCAGTCTCTGTGCTCAGGGATGGAGAGGTGACAGCTGGGATCCCTGGAAGGGGGAAGGCTCACTCCCATGGAAACTGTGGGGCTGACTCAGAGTGACTCATTTCCCAAAGAACAATTGCGCCATGTTAACCAGAGGACAGGATGAATGTTGGAGGCCACAAACACGCCCCCCCACACACACACACACTGTGGCACTTTTGAGATTTGTCCTGTAATGAAAAGTGACACTAGCCAGTTTAGAGGAGAGATGGTCACTGTGCACAGGGGATCAAGGTTGGTAAAAGTGGGCTGAGTTCTTAGGGCCGAGAAACCTAGCTCCAAACAGCAGAACTTTCTTGTCCCGTCGTCTGGAGATGGGAAGTCTGAAGCCCAGGGGTCATGGGAGGCCATCTTCACTGAGGCCTGCAGAGGAGAGTTCGTCCTGCCTCTGCCAGCCCTCAGTGTCCTCTGCAGTCTCTGCCATGTGGTCACATGGCCATGTGGTCACATGGCTTCTCCCTGTGTCTCCCCCCTCTCCTGTAGGACTGTAGTCACATTGGATTGGGGTCTACTCTACTGAGGTGTGGTCTTGTCTTAACTGCTCCCATCTACAGTGACCCTGTCTCCAGATAAGTTCACGCTCATGGGCACGGGGGTCAGGACTTTACCATCTCAATCTGCAGGGTCACAGTTCATTCCATAGAAAAGCCTTTCTGGGGAGCCTCAGGGAGGACTTGGTGGCTTGGTGTTTATTTTGGCTGATGGGCAAGGCTGGCTGCAGGCCCTTGGCCCCGACTGTTTTATGGTGGAGTTGCTTTGTCTCACCTCATAAGGGGTCTGTGGACCCCACAGAGAGGGCTGTGGCTTAGGGCCCAGTGGGCACTGGAGACAGTGAGCCAGGGACCTGCCACATGGATGGATTTGTCTCCACCTCCACGACCTGCTGCTTCCTGTCCGTCCTGGTCCGTGGACACCAGTGAGTGCAGGGATGCGGGGACCAAGACTCAGCTTTGCATTCTGGCTTCCTGTGTCCCTCGCCAAGGGACCCAGGCAAGTTCAGTGGCTGCAGGCTGTAGAGGCCATCCTGTGAACCAGGTGACAGGTCTCTTCTCACGGTCGCTGTGTAAGACGTGCAGGTGGGATGCTGTGCCTGGCAGCCGGCGGGGGCTTCCCGGTGGTCTCATTGCTGTTGCTGCTGGAGACGTGCACAATGGCGGACCTGTCATACGCTATCCCCTCACCAGTGCGTGACGGTGGGCGTGTTGTCCGCTGTCCCCTCACCCATGCATGATGGCAGGCCTGTCATACACTGTCCCCTCACCAGTGCATGATGGCGGGCCTGTCGTCTGCTGTCCCCATGCACAATGGTGGGCCTGTAATATACTGTCCCCTCACCCGTGCACAATGGTGAACTTGACATACACTCTCCCCTCACCCATGCACGATGGCAGGCCTGTCATCTGCTGTCCCCATGCACGATGATGGGCCTGTCGTCCACTGTCCCATCACCCATGCCCGATGGCAGCCTGTCGTCTGCTCTCCTCCTCACTCACCAACCTGCTGTGGGGTTATGTTTCCTTGTCTTTCTGGAGACCAGTGGTCTCAGGCTGTTGGGGTGGACCTTGCTGTCCACCTGTTCAGCAGAGGTCCTAGAGGAGCTCAAATGCTATCACCCTTCTAGGAACAGAGGACACTGGGAAAATCAGGCCACCTCTACCATAAAGTTGCTGATGGTGTGCACGTCGGCCATGACTCTGTTGATGGTCTCAGATATTAATATTTAATATGCCTAATGGTTTGGCAGATATTTAGTTACCAGCTCTCCAGAATCAACTTTCAGCTTGCTTCTCTATCCTGTTTGGACCTCTTCTCCAGAGCCGCACAGTGTCCACCTCTCCCCAGGTCTCCTCCTGGCTGTCAACGAGGCCATCTTTCCCAGCACCTGCTCCATCTCATTTGATGGCAGCTGCATCTGCCCAGTTGCTTACCTGAACTTTGGGGTCCTCGTGGGCTCTTCTCTTCCTTTCACAAACCATGTTCACTCTAACAGAAAAACTTCACAAGGTGTCTGGAATCCAAACGTCTCTCTCCTCTGCCCCTCTGCTGGGTGATGGCCACTGCCACCTTCCTGGTCTCCTGGAGCCTGCTTCTGGCCCCGCAGCCAGACCTGAAGCAGAGTGGACAGCCCACTCCCCTCGGCTCTGAGGGGCTCCTCCCCCGGCACCCTGCTCCATCCTGCTGGCTGTGGACTCCTCCCAGGGAAGTCGCGGTCCTGAGGATGCTCTGTGTTTCCTCTCTGGGGCTGTTTCCCCTCTTCGTCCCCCAGGCTCATTCCCTCGGCTCCTTCATGTCCTGGGTCCAACAGCCCCTTCTCCCCAGTCTCCCTGCCCCACATCCTGCCCTGTCCTCACATCCTACCTGCCCCGTATTACAGTCTAAATCACCCGAGCGCTTACCCGTCTCCGAGGCCTGAGGTGGAGCCGAGTCTTCCCTGATCTCTCCACACGCCATGCCTCCCTCCCATCTGATCAGAAGACCTTGAGCATGAACCAGCAGGTGATTTGCTCCACAGTGTCACTGAGAGCTGGGGACTGGGGGTCCTTGTTGCACTTACCCAGCGCCTGGAGGTCAGTGGTGGGTTGAGGACGCTGAGGCTTTGCCCCTCTGACCCGCTTCCCCTCTTCGTTTCTAGACCGGCCTTATTGTCGCCTGCTACCATGGCTTTGTGGACACTGTGGTGGCCTTAGCCGAGTGCCCCCACGTTGACGTCAACTGGCAGGACAACGAGGGGAACACGGCCCTAATCACAGCTGCGCAGGCAGGTAAGAGCTGGCCTGGCCTTCCTCCTGGGGCTCTGCTCTGGCAGCGTGGCCTTCGTGTCGGAAGGATGCAAACCGATCTGTGCTCACAGGTGCAAGGAGGGGGCTGACGGGTGTGCGGGCCCCTCCTCTCTGTGCGTTGGGGACCATGAGGAGGTGACCCACTCCTGGGGAATGCAGCGTGGGGCAGGCCAGTTCCCGATGTAGCCGGCTCCTTTGGATATGCAGTTGCACCAGAGACCCAATCTCCCCGCCCCCTCACCCAGAACGTCACAGCCCGTCAGCTCCCCGAGAAGTCATGGCTGGTGCTGTGAACCCACTAGAGGAAGAGACAGGAAGAGACTCCACCATGTTTTAGTGGCAGCTAAACCTTGCACTTTACCTACAGATTTAAAGGAACACCAGGAATTGCTTTCTGAGGGCTGTTAGACTATTAGCATACCAAGGTGAGGCTGAATTAGCGAGATGGCCCTGAAAGTGTGGGTTGGTACAGGTCCTCAGGCCTGTTCACTGTCATCTCAAGAAGCCAGCACTTACATTACCATGGCCACGTGCATCCTGGCCTCCTCCTTCGATTGTGTTCAGACACTTTTTGAGGTCAATGTGAAACCTGCATTTTCCCCTCATGGTAACACTTCAGTCTTAACTGAGGTCTTGACCAAGTCTGTAACTCATCTTTTCAAAGAAATTGGCTTCCAACGAATAATCAGACCTTTGTACCCTCAGGCTCCACATCAATCATGGGTAGAAAATATTTTACAAAGTTTGTACTGAACACATTCAGATTTTATTCGTGTTATTCCCTAAACAATTCAGTGTAACAATGATTTTAATGTAGTATTTATGTTGAAGTAGGTGTTATCAGTAATCTAGAGATTTAAAGTGTGCAGGCAGATGTATAAGTTATATGCAAATTCTATGCCGTTTCTATAAGGCATGTAGGCCTCGAAGTCCCCGAGGAGGGACAACTGTGTATCTGCCTCATCAGTCAAGACCTCAAATGCAGGTAATGCAGCTGCCTCAGACTGAACCAGAAAGAGAAGGGTTTGTGTATTAAGGAACTTGAGGTAGTTCACAAACAGGGCCCAGGGCCAAGAAGCCGGAGGAAATGCTCCAAACCACACTGTCCCTTGACCTTGGTAAGGAAGTGTCTGCTGTTGTCCCCAAAGACAGACCTCCTGTCCCTTCTTGCTGCCTTGGCTTCTGTGTCAGTGCTTGCCTGGGTGGATCTGATTGGGGTCCCTAGGAAAACTGGAAACTCAGTATACGATTGTTTCATTCCGCAGAGTGGGAGGTGGTCTGTGCACCCCTCTTGTCCTTCAGGACACAGGGCAGAGGGCTCCCGAAACTCAGAAAGGACCGGGGTTTGTGCTAACACCTGTTTCCCTAAGTGTGGTCTCCATTGAGGACTCCAGGCACTAGAAGCCGAGGTCACAACTTTGGGAGCAGCATGTGGAAGGCCATGGTGAGGTGCTTGGTGACGGGAACCTCTGGAGGGCCAGGCACCGTGTCAGGGACCAGGACTCACAGCACGGGGAGGCTTTGTCCTTAAGTCATTTTCTAGCTCACGGGACAGAAATAGACGTGGAACCCAGCGCTGTCTGTTGGGGCTCTGATGAAGGGGTGCCCTGGGTGTCATGGAATAAGATCACTCCATCTGGAGGTGTTCTAGAAGTCAGAGGCAGGTCCTTTGTTACAATGGATTGCAAAGCCCTGGGGCTGAGCTGGAGCTGCGAGAATCTCAGGAATGGCTGGTCTGAGGGACAGAGCAGGTGGCTGGTGGTAGGATGAAGTTACCTGGGAGAGACGAGAGGCCCTTGAAGAAGGCAGGGGCCTGATCACCCAGGGTCTGGTGCAAGGGGATGTATTCCAGTGGCATGGGGCCTAATGTGTGGTGATGGGGCCCCAGGAGGTTCCAGAGCGTGTGGCTGGAGCACTGTGGGCAGTGGAGAAGGGTGAGTGGCGGGCGTTGTGGTCAGGCATCTGCACAGGGTCAGCGCTGGCTGCAGAGGGGACAGAGAACAGGGAGTGGGAGACATACAGGCTTCGTTCTGGCCATGGGGCCTTTGAAATGCTGTGAAACATCGAGTGAGCCGGCCTGGCTGGCGGTGGAGAGGACAGCACTGTCCTCGCTGTCCCTCCTGGCAACAGCTGGTTTACTGGGATGGGGGACCCTGAGGGCGGAGGACGGGGTAGGATCCTGAGCAGTGTGAGAACGGGAGGGAGGGAAGGAGGCTCCTTTTCTGATTAATTTGCGGGAGTGTTCACTGGGGCTGTTTAAGACTTTTTTATTTTGTATTCACATGTAAGTAACAATTTATCCAGAAAAATAGCGCATCCCTCCCTCCCTCCCTCCCTCATTTCCTTCATTTCCTTTGGTCTCACAGAGGAAGAGGTGGAGCCCAGCCTGCTCTCTGCGTCTCTGTTATGGTTTGGGTGTGGGGGTCCCCCCAAAGCTCACGTGTGAGACAGTGCAAGAAGGTTCAGAGGTGAAATGTCTGGGTCGTGAGAACCGTAACCAGCCAGTGACGAATCCCCTGATGGAATTAACTGAGTGACAGCCGAAGTGGTGGGCGTGGCCGGAGGAGGTGGGCGTGGCCGGAGGAGGTGGGCCTGAGGCGTGGCTTGGGGGTATCTGGCCAGTGGTCTCTCTGCCTCCTGATCACCATGTGAGCTTCCCTCTGCCATCCTCTCCCACCATGATGCCCTGCTGAGCCCTGAGCCCTGAGCAATGGAGCTGGCCTTCTATGGACTAACACCCCTGAAACTGAGCCTTCAATTAAACTTTCCTTCTCTACATTGTTCTGGTCAGATCTTTCAGTCCCAGCAGTGAAAAAGGTAAAATGGTGCCATACCTGGAGGAGCTCCCACCCCACCCTTGACACTGGGAGAGGAATCCAAACCCCCACTGTGTGCGCCTCAGTCCTTTTTGTGTTTGAGTTAAACTCAGTGCTTTTCCTTTAGGAAACTCCCCCGCCCCCATCTCTGGCTCCAAATCTACCTTGTTTTGTTTGTGTCCCCCTTGGGTGTCCATGGACCTGGAGATGAGGTCACCTGTCCAGCTCCAGTTTTCTCTCACCATTCTGTCTCCATCCTTTCACTCCAGGGTCCAGGGAAACCCCTCAGGTCCCCCACTACCTGGTTTGGTGGCCATTTCCCAGTGCTTTCTTTAGAAAGCTCAAGTTGGCAAGTAGTTCCCCCATTTGTATCTGTTTGCCTGTTGGTACCAGGGGTGAACCCAGGGTGCTGAGCCACATCCCAGCCCTTTCTGTTCTTCCTTTGAGACAAGGTCTCACTAAGTTGCTTAGGGCCTTGCTAAATTGCTGAGGCTGGCTTTGAACTTGAGATCCTCCTGCCTCAGCCTCTCCTGAGCTGCTAGGATTGTAGGTGTGTGCCACCACGTGTGGCCCAAAACTTTGGTCTGAGAAATTGAGAACAGTTGAATGAAAAGTAAGAGAATCTGCCCATAAGATTCCACAGTGGCCAGCAACTGTGCCAATTTGCTGCTTTCTCTGCTGACCCATTAGAGTTAGTGGCAGACACCCACCGTGACCTACTCCAGCAGGATCTCCTCAACAGCAGGCAAAATGCATCCCTGCCACATCCAACAAATTCCACATTGATTCAATGAAATTATTTATTATAATCTCAGACTGATAGTCAAACTCCCCCCATTGCCCTGCAAACATCCTTTATAGTTTTGCTGCTGAAATTTTTTGTTGTTATTATTTTTAAGTAGACACGACAGGAGAGTGTATTTTGCCAGGCGGAGTAGAACTTGTTCTAGTGAGGATCCTGTCCTGTGGTTATACATGACGTGGAGTTACACTGATCGTATATTCATATATGAACATAGGAGAGTTATGTCTGATTTATTCCACCGTCTTTCCTATTCTCATCCCCACTTCCTTCCCTTCATGTCCCTTTGTTGATGAACTTTGATCGGAGGTGAGATTACTTCAGTGTTGAGCCCCTTCAACTCGCCACCCTGAAGGGGATCTGCCCTTTTTGGTTCCAGGAACAAGGCCAGCTTCATGGGCTGTGAGCTCTGCGCTGGACAGGCCCTGGCTCACAGGGCCCCTGCTCCTCTTCCTTCCTGCCCTGAATCTGCCTTGCACCTTGCCCGGATCCTGTGGCTGCCCCACTTGGTTCTGAACGTCACTGGCCTCACACTGACCAGGAGATTTTCCTTCTCTTGCATTGGGCTGCCCTTGCCCAGCCCTGACTTGAGTCCCAGGAGGCCTGTGTCCCAGGGAAGGAAGGGCTGCAGTGGCTCGGCCCAGGACCAGGACCTGGGCTATGGCAGGAAGCACTCAACAGGGTGGGTCCTGCTCCCACCCTGCAGACATCCCTGTGTCAGGGAGGGAGGTGAAACTCCAAACCTTTGTTCCTGTGTTCCGATGAAAGAAAATTTAAAGCCAGACACCAAAAGCCAAGCAAGAGAACTTTAATATTATAAGTGATAGTAAAGAGAAAGGGAGATGAAAGCAAAGTAAAAGCAAAGCGAGACTCGTCTCTGAGCAGAGAACAGCAAAGGAGACGACGCTGTCCCCAGTTTATTACTGTTTGATGTTGACCAGGAGAGCTGGGGACCACCTCTGTACTCTTTGCCAATCAGGTGTTCAACTCCTTCACGTCGGGAGGTGGAGTTTTTGACCTTAGTTGGTTCTCTCTGGAACCGTCACGGTGGACGTCCTATTTAGCAGGACTTCAGCTACAAGTCAACCCCATGTTAATGTGGGCACTGGGGTCAGCAGCTGCTCAGGAGTTACCTTAGTGCACCTGCACTACTAGAGGAATCTTCCTTCCCAGACAGATGGAGACACTTACAGCTGTAATTCCTAGCTTCACATCAACCTCAGTGGACCCTGTCAAGAGATAAACCCATTAATCCTTATCTTTTGATGTGCTTTCCATTGGTTCCTTTGCTTTGGTTTATTTTCTACAAATTAACTGCCGCCCTTTGCTTTCTTTTCCATTTTGCAAGTGGTTTAAAGAAGACACTAAAGTAATTCCAAGAACACCTGTGACCTAGCCATGCATTCCTGCTCATTGCTCACTACTACCTAACACCTGCACTACAGATTTCTTCTCAGCCAAGTGTGGTGGGGCTGCCATGGGAGCAGGGGGAAGCCCACCCTCTGCCTGGGGTTACCTCTGGAGAAGGCTGACCCCCCAGGCACAGGGCCCATCTTGGTCTCACATGTCCAGGGTGTTGAAGAGTGTGAGGGTGGGTCTCAGGGCATCCATGAAGACCACCTCTTCCCCCACCCCTGCTTCTCATCTGCAGGGCTCTGCCAGACTTTTGCCCTGATTTACTTAGATAGGTGTAATAATCCCTTCTGCTTCCCCAAGGTGGCCTGTCTCCACTACCCCAAGTGAGGTGTCCGTAGAGGAACACAGAGACTATGATGTTAATGTGAAAGCCAGGAAGGGAACGAGGAGCTGCTCACAGCTTCCACTTTTACCAAGGGGGGCTCTTCTGCTCCAACCAGGAGGTGGTCTACTCCAACACCATTCTATAATCATCCGCTTGATGATTCCAAAAGTTGTAGCAATAGGTGCTGACAACTAAAAGAAAATCACAGCAGAATTAATATGAGAGAAAGAGGGAGTG